GAATTGGAGTTGAAAAGGATGAAAATAAGGCATTCATTTATTATCAAAAATCTGCAAAGACTGGGAACGCTATCTAAACTTAGTAATGATGAAATTTATGACAAGTTGAAAGGATGTATTTTTGGTATGATTATAGTTGTTTACATATAAACTACTTAGTGATATAAATTTATATATTTTTGTTTGTATTAAGAATTTTGTATTTTTTTTTTAAAAAAATTATTAGGTGCTGCATTAGGCGATGCGGTGGGTCTCGCCACAGAATTTTTAAGTAAAAAAAAGGCTAAAAACATATATGGCGTTGGTCCTATATCTTTTGGTAGTGATAAAGGTTACAAATTTTATGCTGATAGACATAGAGAAAGATGGTATGTGGGTGAATGGACTGATGATACTGGTAAATAAAAAAAGAATTACACCTCTAATTTGAATATTTGAATACTAACTTGCTTGATTTAATATTATTCCTAATAAATTTCTCCTTGTTTACAATATAATAATTATTATCTAAATAGATCAACAACTTCTTATTATCGATTCTTTACTTTGCTCTAATGGCATATTCAATACGCGAGATTTTGCAAAGCGCTTAAGCAAATGGGATGAAGAGGGCTACCCAGAACTTGAAAATAAACCACCAAATGGAATTGGTAAAACCGTTGGTTCTGTGTTGAACCATTCAAAGTTCAAGAGGTTGCCCCATAGTGCCGCTTGGGATGTATGGGTTCAATTTAATTGTAATATGGCCGCGAATGGTGCTTTAATGCGTACAGCAATATTGGGTATTCCGTTCTTTTGGGATGAAAAACAAGTGATAAAACAAACTTTACAAGCCACTAAAGCTACTCACGCTGATCCAAGATGTTGTGTTTCTAGTGTGATTGTTACGATTTTAATTTCAAGATTAATTCAAGGAAATATACAGGACACCCTTCCAGACTTAGATGGTTCGACTAAGCAAGATATATTGTCGTGGATGCAATCTGGAAATCTTAATAATAAGATTGAGAATAATATTGATAATGATGATCTTCCACTGAATGGCGAATCGTCAAAAAGAACAAGCTTTGTTAAGCAAGTAGCCACTAAAGTAGGAAACTTTTTTTCTGATAAAGAAGATCGAAATACATTATGGTTTGAACGACAGAAAAAAATCCGTGCTAGTTTAAATAGCTCAAAACAAGACAATCAAGAAATTCCAAAAATTCCAGATCCTTTACCTCCTGGCATGGACACGTTTGGTGCTGACCCTGAAATATTGGCATTAACAAAATCTGTAGTTGATAGGTATAAATTCATGACAAACGGCATCAATGTCACATCACTTAGTAAAACAGGACCTACGAAAGGTTCCAAGTTCAGTAAATTTCAGACAGATATGGGTGAAACAGCTCTTTTACAACATTGTTTTCCCGATACTTTGGCAGCATTAAAGTTGGATGAATATCCAAACATCGGATATGTTTACAAGTGTCTTGGTGCTGGGTTATATTGCTTTACGAGAAATTTGAACCAGCAAAGTAGTGAAGGTGATGCTTTTAAGAAGATTATTACGGAACTGATTCTGGAAGCTGGGTAAATAAAATGATCGCTCAATACAATTCGATATATGTACTTAGTATTATATCTTAGTTTTTAATCTATATTTTTCCTTAAAAAATTTAGAGATGCTGATACAAATGGAGCAGTAGCTGGAGCTCTATTAGGTACCAGAATTGGATATAATAAGCTACCTAAAGAATGGGTTGAAGGTTTGAAATTTAAAGATTGGTTAGAAAAGAGAGTTGATAGTCTTTGGGCTATTTTATCTAGTGAAGAAGTAAAAATATCTTAAATTTAACATTTTAGATATAGTTATTTACTTGATATTTAACTAATATTAAAAGACTAAATTTTTTGGAGTTTCTCAACGCTAATACTGTATCTAACTCTATTAATTCGAGTATGGCTATAATTATTTAACAATGAATAGTACAGCTTTCATATATAATCAAGAGATTTAAATTATAATTTATTTTTGCCTTCATGTTATGCGATGAAAAATTTGCATAATAAAATAAATACGTATAAATTAGAATTCTCTTTTTTGAGCAGTCTGTACGAGCATGGCGGGCTTTCATTGTGATTGGCCAATTTTTGTAGATCATCCCATGATGTAGTAAAAAATTTTATTGGTTAATCGAAAATAATCGTTCAAAACTTTAACAAATGGTCACGAATAAAAAAACTGATATTTATAAAAATAACTATCTATAGAGAAATTAATACCAGAAAAAGTCTTTATCATGAAATCTCGATAACTTTAAATCTAAAACTATAATCTTGTAGCAGACAAACCAAAATTTTATTGAACAAATAGTCCAAATATACAAATAAAAAAAAAGATCCAAAAACAAAAAATACAAGAAATAAATGTTGAACCTATTTAGAACACTAATGGATAATAAAAAATAATCAAAAATAATTTTTTAGTTCACTCTAACATCAAACTGATCTTTAATTTTATTACAATTGGTATAACAGTTACAATACCACTACTTCGCTTTAACTCTTCTCACGAAATTTATAAACTCATTACTCTCAACTTCATATTTTTAACCTATATTATAGTTAAGATTCTATATTAATTGGGATTACAAAATACATAAAAGCAGCTTAAATTGCCAAGCTTGATTTTTTGAACCCATAAGTTAAACGTTCAAACATACCTCTCCTCTAACTTCCGAATTACTTCGCGGATTACCTAATTAATTTGACAGTTTATGAAATAAGACGTGAACTTTCTAATTTTTTTTGTCCTGGAATTCAAGCTTTAACGTTAATAAGATAAGATGATCTTCAAGAATCAGCCAATCATAATAAAACCCGCTATGCTTACCAGTTACTGTAACATATAAAAAACTTCATGCCATGGATATAAACATTACAATAGGTAATTAAATAGGATTTCGATTGTTCCGGTTCAGTACGGTAAAAAAAATATTACGGTCAACCCTTTATTAAATCACATTTTCACAAGCGCAAACAGAATATCTCAAATAGCACTATTGAGTTGATTATTATTTTTTTTTTACACTACTACAATTGTTTTTGTCAGGAGAGTGTGTACATTCATCAAAAAATCTTTAAGAGTCTTAGATATTAATCATAATCATTTTAGATTTATTTTAGATTCAATATAGATGCACAATTTCTTTTTTTTAAATGTAAAAGTGCAAGTGTAATTTTTAATTGTTAGTAAAAGCAAACATAAACATATTACATATAAAGGAAAGAATGAAATTTTTTTGAAGTGGGGGAAATTACAATAAAAGATATTTGGCAAAAGATTATGTCAAAAGTTAAAAGGAAAGTGAAAATGATACAGTTTTATATGAAAATGATAAATATGTATAACTGCAAAAATGAGATGAAATGACGATATATGTATGTATAACGATAACGACAGAATAAAAAAAATGAAGATAGTGAAAACCCGTGCTTTTTTATAGATCAAGACACAGGTTGGATTGGAAATGCTAAAATATGCATAATATTTATACGTATAAACTACATCAATGTACATACTAACTTTTTTTGACTAATAATTCTATATATGTGCTTATATAAATGCAAATGAAAAAATGAATTACAATATACAACTTTTTTATATGAAATATTGATGATGTAAGAATATATATATATATATACAGTCAACTCTCTATAAGTGCAGCTTGCCGGAACTTAGAAAATTTTCTTAAGCAAAAAAAAAAAAAAATCCGGCATTCAAAGAGAACCTGCATTTAGAGATTATATGTTTATTATACAGTTATAATCTTATATAGCTTAGGACCGAAGCTAAATCTGCAATTTAGAGATAATTTAATATGACCTGTATTTAGAGAGAGCCGACTGTATATACATATAGATTGTTTATATGTGTTTGATACCACGGATTTTTAAGGTTTCTTCGAGCATAGGTTTATACCATGCGCGAAGTATTATCAGAACGAATGACGGCTGGAGAAAGTTCTTGAATGGCAATCACGTTTCCGTTGTTTGGTGTCATGCGAGAACGATTTCCATTACTGTTAGAATTTCCAAAACCAAAGATATTAAGAATCCGTGAGAAAATAGAAGAATTGGAATTTGATCTACTATGACGTCTACTGTGTCTATTGTATCTACTATATCTATTAGATCGACTGTTGGATGTGTCATAAATCGAATCAAGATTTGAATGAACCTGTAAGGCTTGAGCAAATCTTTTTTCTCTCTTATCAATTACATCTTGCGGTGCAGTTTCCTGCTTACAAAGGGGACATAGTGATGACTTTGTTGTAAGCCAACGATCTATAAAGATTAATAAAAAAAAAGTTAATATACGTATTTGCAAAAAAATAATAGTCCTTAAAGAAAGAAGAAACATATACACACCGATACATTCAGTATGATACATGTGAGAGCACTTTGGTAATTGTCTCAACTTTTCACCATCACGGAATTCATCCAAACAAATAGCACATACATCATTGGAATAATCATTATTTTTGGCATTTTTTGATGACGAAGCAATAGAAGTGCCAACAGATGTAAAAGGGTCATCGGATTGGTTGGTATTATCTTGCTTCCGAAATGTCTTAGTAGGAAAATTTTTAACAATAGATTTATCCAATGTAAAAACTTGTAATTTAGAATTCATATTAGCTTCATGCTGAGCCATCATCATGCTTCGTTCACGACGTCTTAGTTGATATAAACGACAGTGAATTAAAACTAAATTTTAAAAATAATTTAATAAATATCTTATTTAATAAATAACAAGATGCGTATTATAAAAAAAAATGTAAACTTACTGGAAACCAAAAATGAAACTGCCAGCAATGAGCCAATTATAATTATAGCAAGTTTCCAAGAGTTAGCATAACTATCTTGCGTGTAAATGATTACTGCGTGAACTAGTTCTGATCCGGAACTTTGACTTATAGTATCATTCATAGTAGTTAATAGCTTATTTCCCATACTGGTTTTGATTCTTAATACTGTGATAGTAACTGAATCTTTTTTTAAGGAATCACCGCTTTCACTACCAAAAATAATTGCTCCAATATCCTTACAATTTTGTACAGAAATGATTTGTTGATTAACTGGACAATTGGAACTTAAATTTATTACTGCTATCCTCGAGTTGTTAAGATCATTTGAAATTGCAGGTAAAGATTGTTGGCATTGAGATGAGCATGGGTCTTGGACATTGTATAATATACCCTAAAATACGTAGAAAATTTATTAAATCAAAATTTAAATGGTTTTTTAAATTTTGAAAATTTAAAAAAAATTACGAACCACAACATTATCTGCAATATCATTAAAACCTGTTATTAATTGCAATCCTGAATTGTCTGCAGTATAATAAAATCCAGGTTTTGAACTTGAATTACTAATCTTGGTTGCATTTGCGCTGATAAAATCTTGATATAGCGTTAAATCAGCTTGGACAACACAAAACGATGTGAGCAGGACAAAAATTAAAGCTGCGGGCGTGATATAAATCATACGGATCATTTTTTTTAAGGAAAAAAAAAAAACTTTCACGCTAAAAAAAATATATTATTGATAAAAATGATCTTGTCTATAAATGAATGCGCACGCCAGCGTGAAAATGTTACAAAGAGCCAAATAATCCTTTTTTGTACGAAAGAAGGAACGTTTCTGGGAGTTTATAATAACAAATTATGGACCTGTTTTCTAATGTGTTTATCAAAAATTTTGAGATCCTACAAACTACCAAAAAATGTTCCCCTATTCTTCAAAATCTGCCGTTCTAACGACGCCTTTTAATAACGTTTAAAATAAAGACAAGTGATCTGTCACCTTCGTTCTGTAATAACGAATTTTGGCCGGTACACAAGATCATTAAAATCTTCTTTGTTATCAATCAGTGATACCCATTATGGAACAGATTAACACCTTTGTTTACTGAATTAAAACGGCCCAGAGAAGCATGGAATACATTGCATAACAAAGACAGTAAATACAAAGAAATAATCGCCAAATTAACCGGATGAGCGACAAATATATCTCGATATTGTAATACAGTAATACCAGATTACGAATCTTCATTTACATAAATTTTTGGCGTTTTTGTTTTATGGTAATTTATTTAACGATATGCATATGCAGTCATTGTTTAAATCACGAGATATATACAATGTAAACTTAGTTATAATAATACAGAATGACGTTAAATCTTTATTAAATGCTGAAACAAATGATCCCATTCTACGTAACTCAAACACAGATAATCCAAGAAAAAAAAAAAACCATATATTACAGGGAACCTATCAGAGTTTCAATCATTTGCTTCTCCACATTTTCAGTCTTAACTTGATCGCCATCGCCCAAGTTTTTATGATATTCTGAGACATAAAAGAAGGTTAACATATTACAACATCCAAATTTAGAATACAGGAATTTTATTTCCTAAAAAGGTCAACAAAAACCAAATACTCTGTAGCACCGACAAACTTTTCACATTTATTGTCCAATCAAATCGCAAGATTAGGTAATACCATAAAATGTTTTTTATAATCCCTACTTTAATTTTGTTTTGACATCCAATCGATGTAGCTTAGTAAAAATTTGTCGATGCTACCTTAATAATCGTAAACAAGATTTAACTAGAAAATCAGTCCTACCTTCCAATACGGTTTTCACATTTGCGATGCTCCGTCCAGTACGATTCAAAAGGATTGTTACACGTTCTTTAATCTAGTGACATCCAAAAAAAAAGTCATTGTCCGCAAACATTTTTAATGCATGATACGTTCATAATTATAGCATCGGCTACAATTATTGTCGTGGCTGAAGCTGGAAATGGCTGAAGCTGGAAATTTTAAATATTTTAATATGAAATTTACAAAAA